GTAGACGCATCGCCATAATCATGACATGACCGTGGAATGACATCAATACCTAACTGCATCTTAGGACTGTTGGTGATCAGATTTTAGCCCTCCCCTCCCTCATCCTCCCTTCCTCTCTCCACTGCCCTCCAGCTGCCACTGCAGCACCATGTGGAATGAACGGAAGTGTGCTAAGCAGGTGTTTATATAGCCCTAAGAGTGTTATCACAACTATCCTGCTACAAAACATTGATATCTCAAATCCTGTAAGCTACCCGATTTGTTAGCGGTTTGTTTATCCCATGAGCTTCCTTCTCACTCACTTCATTTTGCGGACGGACACACATACATACGACATACATACAAACCGACACACCAAGTTAGCGCTTTATAAATTAGAATTATAAAAACAACTTGATTTTCAGATGGTTGAAATTGTGGCAAAGAGCGTGAGCCAACTGAAGCAAGCGAGAGTGGCAGTCATAGCGTTGGGCTGCCCGTCACAAATTGTCGTTCCTATTGGTACCTACACTCCGGATCAACTAAGGTTACTCGAATTTTCTAAAAATGCCCCACTTACAGTGGAACCAGCAATTTATCAATGATCCAACATGAATCCAATAAGTTTGAGATTGTTTCCACTTCTTAGTAGCCTCACTTCAAATCAGATCATAACTGAACTGTTGGTGTCTTTCTAATCAAGGGTTTTTTTTAGTATGGGCAACAATTTTAGAGAAAAAACATTGGGCAGAAAGTGCACATAATGAGGACTGAGAAACGTAAACAGTAGTAGCTTGAACAGTCGCTATTTATACAGACACATGAGCGAGGCGTATTTCGGAACTCATCGACCGTGAGAATGAAAAAAGCGGGAACGAGCAGTTGTGAAAGGGATTCGGAACGATATCTCCTATCCATCCTCGTCTCCAGGGCACTCAGCTGGTCTTAAAGATCGGAACTTTGCTCCCAGAACATTCCATGCAAAGTAATTCACTGAATGTGGAAGTGAACAAAGACGGAGTGGGGGACAGAAGGAGGCGTTACAGAAATCTTATTGCAATTCTGCGGCACGAGGCAGTAAGGCTGGTTGACAAATGACCTGCGCTGCTTCCGTCACTTCAATCTTCTACTGCGACACCTCCTTGAAATTGATTCCGACAAGTGAGGTACGTGAACATACTTCGTGGGAATCACCAAGTGATAACGCTGATAAGATTGATAAGAGGCGCTGAAACGCAAATTTCACGAAATTCATAGTGCGCTTCGCAGCAGTCGTCAGGAGTTGATTTTGGATATGATATAGGGGGTGGGACGGAAACATATTTGGTGGGGACAAAAAGTGGTAACAATTGATAAGGATTGGTAAGAGCGGTTAGCTTGAAAACGCAGGGAGTCACCAAAGTTTTCATACACATTACATTGAACATTATTGTGTACTAAACCCGAAACTTCTTTGACTTAACTTTTCATTTCTTAGCACATTACATTCTTCCTCCAAAACTGGAGCAGACCTAACGTACTAAAATAGCTACTGCCAGTGCACAAATAAAGCCTATAGCATTTCTAGGAAAGAATTGCTGGCATTTAACCAAACTAGTGCAACGATCGCCACCTATCAAGGATACAGTCTCGCTAGGATGATTCTAAAAGTAGGTTCTATCACTCATTTTTGAACAAAGAGCCTTTGACTGGGACATGATGTGAACCTATCACGTGCAACCGTAGACCTATGATAGCATCCAATTCAGCCTTGTACTTGGCTGTTAAATTACTGATTGACCTAATATGTTTATAGGCAGAGACCACCCACGATAAAAGGGTAGTCATAATTTCAAATGGTCAAACTTCAACTTGCCATGCACCGAGGCCTGGAGAAGAAGATGAGCGCAGCATTGTCATTGAAGTAAGTTGGAAAGGGATTCCTAGTCGTGACCAACTGATGTTTGAAGATAGAACTAACCTGGTGGAATGGTTTCACTGAATAGTCTCGTATATTCATATTGCAGTGGTACAGAGTTGACCTGGGAGTGATTTACATCCTCGTCTCAGACGCCGTTAACAGAACACTTGGGGACAGACTGCGGTAGACCCTGAACACATACTGAATGTGACAACGATTAAGGCAAATTTTATGATTGTTGCTGTTGATAAGCCCGAACATCAATGGTTCGCGTTCAGGTTAGGGAAGATTCAGACGAGTTTAAGAGGATACTGGAGTGGTTAGTCAAGGAAATCCTTACACCACCAACGACGAAGCCACCGGCAGTACAGGAGCAAGGAATGAAACCATTGACGAAAGCATGTGGAGCTGTCCACCTGTAAGCAATCGTGAAAGTATATGCGTATTAGTATTAGTAGTATATAGCATACTACATATTGATGATGATATGTCACAAACTGGGGATTAGGCGTAAGCTTAACAAACTGTGTTCAGCCAACGACTGTCAGTCGCCCACCTCATTCAAATGCTAGTGTGACTGCTAACCGCAGACAGGTGCACGGCGTACTTCGAGCGGGGGTTTCACTTCAAAACGCTTTATCTGTCAGCGCGTGAGCAGACAAACCTCCTCAAAAAAATCTTGGCTTCCAAAATTTAAGTGGAAGAAAGTTAGAACTTGCCGAATTGACTTCTAGGGACCCCCTTAGAAATTCCGGCAGAAGAAAGCCTTTCAAGAAAATTTTCGCATATGTTGTGAAGCTTTCTTCATGTAGACTTCATCACTTTTTACCGCTTTTTTCATCTCTATTTTATAAAGCGCTAACTTTGTGTGTCGGTTTGTATGTCTGTATGTGTGTGTATGTATGTGTATGTATGTATGTATGTATGTATGTCTGTCCGTCCGTCAAAATGAAGTGAGTGAGAAGGAAGCTCATGGGATAAACAACCGCTAACAAATCGGGTAGGCTTACAGGATTCTGAGGTGTGTGTGAGTGAGTGAGTTGTGATAACACCCTTTAGGGCTATATAAACACCTGCTTAGCACACTTCCGTTCATTCCACATGGTGCTGCAGTGGCAGCTGGAGGGCAGTGGAGAGAGGAAGGGAGGATGAGGAAGGGAAGCGAAAAATCTACCGTCATATCATGATTGTGTCCCTTCTACTGTATGAAACACCATTGTGTTGCATACGCGTCACTTCCAGGAGGTGTTGGTGTCACAGGAGGAAGGGACCATAGCGGAGGATAGAAAGCTTGCGCAGGAAAGGAAGGTCCCGGCGGTTGACGGGGGACTAATCTGGTTATATAAAAAGGAAATTATGGATTTCAGGATGAAAAGTTGCGTTCCAGGGAAATGGCTTGAAAAAATCAGGGAAAAAACGAAACAACGGGAACTATTTTTTGAGGGAGTCGATTGGAAAAATTTCAGGTGCTTGTTCGAAAGCTCTAATCTTCTAGTTTCTAATTAGCCTTAGACATCTGCAAAAAGTTGATTATGAAGAAAGTTATGAATGTTTGAATGTCAAAAACTCGCGTGTGCACAAAAAACGGAACAACGGGACGATTTTTTGAAGAATTAACATTTCATAGTTCATCTGTGTGAAGAAATCATTGCAGTGTTTGGTTTTTTGTATCCGTGTCTATGAGGTTATGGCTTGATAGAAGATATGGCCTTCCAAGGAAGTCTTGTCCGAACGCGATACTGAAGGACGATGTAGAAGCTCTAACGATCACAACCATGCCTAATATCTTGAAAAAAAAATGGAAATTGCTCCTGAATTCCATGTTGGCTCGCCCATCCTGTCGAGCAAAACGAAGCGCGCGGACTTCCCACTGCGCACCACTTCTTTCATGTCGATGAAGGCCCATACATCAATGATGGGCATAGAAATATGTGAAAGACATAATAGTTAATACGGGGGGTCGTACCGATACCCTCCGAAAAGGAAGGGGGTCGTAAAAATTTTGGAATTTGCGCAACGCAGGGTTGACCCTGCGTACTACGCCGATAGCGCACCAATAGCGCCGCAGGGAAGGCATGCTAGATCGCCGGGGACATATCCTTCGATGCGAATTGTGTGTGGTCCGCACCCTCAGGAGGTCCGCCTGTCTCTCCACTAGGTAAGCTTCCCCTTCTTCGACCTTCGTTCTTATCGTGGAATCCTCCTTTAAGAAGAAGGAACGGAAAGAAGTGGACCTATATGCTCTAGAAGTGGCATAGATAACGCACTGAAAAAGCATAGCGGACGTTTCGCAAAATAAAACTATATAAAAGTGTGGCACAAGTGGTCCCGCTCCGCTACCAGTCACATGATTTGGGGATTGAATCACGCAAGACCAACCAATCCTTCCATACTTTCGAATTCGGTTATTTGGTACTGAGACTTGTGTGGAAAGGAAAGTCTAGCATGCGCCGGTTGGCTCTCAAAGACTAAAGTTCCAGGATTTAAGAGCCGCAAATTCAAATTGAAAATTGGTGTGTGGCGTATCCCATAAAAGAAACCACTACTTCCTGCTCTCTGGACACTAGCAGGGAAATAAACTTAAAAGCCTTGAAAGTGTCTTTTTCATCTGAGTTGGTGTGGAAATGCAAAGAAGTGTGGATTCGATTGGGTACCAAACTGCAACGTATTTGGTTTTCCTGAAGTCCTGAAGCAGACAAGCGAACGTTAGCTCCGTTATCTCAAAACGAGACAAAAAAGCAATCTCCACTTCGCAACGCTTGCGCTGCGGTTTTGCTCTTTTTTTTGCTGCAGGTAGATAATGACACCTTTCTATTGTCGAGCCCATCCCGTGAACATGCCCAAACAAATTTCGTGCAGTTTTTTTATAAAGTTTGACTGGAAGCGCTAGCTTGCCTACGTTACGATTTGCATACTCGAGAAACGGCAGTTGTACTGGAAGCGTTGAGGACTTAGTCCATACCACACTGATTATTGAACTGATGTAATTGACAGCATTGAATTGGCAAATTAACTCTTTTTAGGGCACCCGTAC